TAATATGGAAATAAAATTTGGGGAATAAATGAAATATTCATGCAATTAACAAGTGAATAACAACAAATAAAATATCACTGTTGTCAACTGTGCACTGTATTGTATTTTACTTCAGCTTTGCTGTTTTTACTTTTCTTCTCCAGTTTTGAGCATTATTACAATGACTTGAAATAGTAATGGTGCCAGGTGTGGTGGCTCATGCCTGTAATCCCAACACTTTGGGAGGCGAAGGCGGATGGATCACCTCAGGTCAGGAGTTTGAGACCAGCCTGGCCAATGTATCTACTAAAAATACAAAAATTAGCTGGGCGTGGTGGCTTGTGCCTGTAGTCCCAGCTACTAGGGAGGCTGAAGCGAGAGAATCACTTGAACCTGGGAGGTAGAGGTTGCAGTGAGCCGAGATCATGCCACTGTATTCCAGCCTGGGAAACATAGTAAGACTCCGTCTCAAAACAAAAACAAACAAACAAACAAAAGATAGTAAATGGTTCAGAAAGCTTTACTTTTAGTCTGATCTTACATGCTGTTGAGTATCTACGTAGTGAAATGGAGGTTTGTTTTAATCAGTTTGGATTTACCGATATATTATTCTAGCTTATAATAATAAAATACAATAATAACCACAACACAGGGGTACCCAACCCAGTAACAGTCCATGGTCTGTTAGGAACAGGGCTACGCCGTGGGAGGTGAGTGACAGGTGAAAGAACATTACCGCCTGAGCTCCACTTCCTGTCAAATCAGCAGCAGCATTAGATTCTGATAGGAGGGTGAACCTATTGTGAACTGCACTCCTATGAGAATCTAACCAATGCCTGATGATCTGAGGTGCAACAGTTACATCCTGAAACCACGCCCACCTTGGTCAGTGGAAAAATTGTCTTCCACGAAACTAGTCCCCGGTGCCAAAAACGTTGGTGACCGCTGCCCTAACAGTTTCATTATTTAAATTCCTGCAGGAAAGAAATACTTTTACCCTTGCAACTCTAAGACTCTAGCTCCTAAACCTCCTTTCTCCATTGAAATAACTTTTTATAATTTCAAAAAATATATCAAGGTTTAAGAATGCAGCTATCCTTTTATAGCAGAATGGATTGAAAAAACAAAATAAGTCTGTCTCCTCCCTTCTATTATTTTGGATTTCACGTGTCAGAGTCAAATATAACATTGTAATGGGAGTAATACTAAAATCTTAGAAAAGTTTTTGAATATTCTGTTTTAAAAGCAGCAGTTTACTTAGAAGTAACTGATGTGCTGACATGATCTAAAACAAGTTCCACTAAGAATTTCTTTGTAGGAGGCACTATTTTGTTGCCCAGGTGTAACAATACAATACATACACTTGCAATTCAGAGTCTTTATTAATTTATCTTTTAAATGTCTTTTAAATTCATCCACTAATTTAGTGATCATCAACTCTCTCCTGAATTACTGCAACAGCTCCCTAAATCTAGTTCTCAATCCACTCCCTTTACTAAAGTCCCAATACTCTTTCCAAAGGTCAAAAACAAATTTGTGATATAGTATTACATGGATTTCTTTATGCATTAAATAACACGGTATGGGGGCAGGTTTAAAAAGTGCTTCCATTTTGAAGAAGTGATACTCTGAGATGCTTCTAACAACTATAATATAGCAGGAAAATATCTGAGATTTCTGTTGATGACAAAGGCAGTTACTGTAATACCACTGCAGCTTGTTGCCTACATTCATTAAATGAATTGAAAAAAACATTAAATTACATGTCAATGAAAACAAAAATATAATCTTTTTTCTATCTAAGTTCATGGGTCCCCTAAATTCTATGCATGGATATATGGGAGTCCATGAGGATTAAGAAATGCTGCAATGGCTGCCTACTGTGCTTAAGATAAAAATTCCTGTCGCATGGCTTAAGGGACACTTAATGATCTGATTCTCAGCCACTGCTCATACCCAGTTTTGAACCCCATCTTTTGCAGCTCTTACTCTGCTGTGTCAAACTCTTACTTCCAGATCTCTGTAAAGCTATTTCCTTTGCCTACAAAACTCTTTCTCTTCTCTTTGCCTAGCAAACTTGTAATCACCCTCCAGGTGTCAACCTACATAATAATTCCTTCAGGTAACTAAGACTGTGAGATGCCCTTCCACTATGCTTCCACAGCACCGACCACAGCATTTATCACACTGTATTAAAATTGCCCTTCCCCATTAAACTGTAAGCACATAAACTGTGTCTCTAATCCCTGCTCCTTGCATACTGTCTAGCATAGAATAAGATTTGAATACTTGTGAAAAGAAGAAAGTAAAGAAAAAAGGAAGTTTCCAATTTATCTACTGTTTCATGACATGACACTCTACCCTTAATGCCTGATTGACCCTCACAAATGCAAGCTGTTGGTCACAATGGGAACTGGAAAAGTATAGGACTCCATTAATACAAATTCATATTTTTATTGGAAAAAGCACTTAGTGTAATGACGAAATGAAGAACATAATCACTATTATTACAGGGCCACATCAGGAAGATTTTACCAACTTGGAATACTAAGTAAGATAACTGTATTGGTGCATAAAAAATCGTATTGTGATGAAAGATTATTCATCACAAGCCAAAATTCTGGTATATATCTAGCTCAACTATGTACACCTGTCCCCAAAGTAGTGGTAGAGGAGGATTAACAGCCCCATCTCTTAGGGAAATGTATCAAAATCACTGAGGTGAGGGCAAAGTTTTCAAGCTATAGGTTCCTCTCAATCCTTCCTGTATTCAGCCACTGACGCTGAAAGACATGTCCACCGTGGTGGCAAAAGGATGAGAACCACTGTCTGGTCCAACAGCAGATGAGGCAAATGCTGTGCCAACAGACCTTATAAAACAATTGATAATAAAATGGTAGAAGTTACAAAGATTAACGTTACAAACCTTAAGGTTACAAGCCGTAGGGAAGGAGATTAAAGTTACAAAGCTGCAGGGAAGGAGAGCTAAGCCTTGGGAAGAGAATCCAAAATAACTACACTAGTGTGAAGTTTTTAGAGTCAAGTCAGAGATTTCAAAGGAGAAAGACTAGAAGTGGACCAGAAAAAAAAAAAAAAATGAGATGGGTTAAGTGAAATCAGAATCTACAAATGCTGCAGGGGGGTGAGTGGTATTTAAGGCTTGTTCCAAGAATAGTGAGTGAATCACTTTAGTGGGAAGGTGCCTGAGTAGCAGTAGGTCAGAGTGTGATTACAAAGGGCTCTGAATGACAAAGTTTTAAAATGTGGATTTTACTCCTGGCAAAAAGAGACACTAAGGTTTCTAAAGAAGGTTACATTGTGTGGTTAAAGCACTTCTCTGGAGAAGATTAGCCTAGGGGTCTTAAACAGGATGAATCAAGGGGAGAGAGAAAATGATGAATACCCTAAACTGCTTGGCATAAGATTCACAAAAATGCTATAAAAACACTAGATGATATCTTTTCATTATATATGTTTACATTACATTAATATAATTTATATTCTAATCATTTATGTGTTATTTAGTAATACAAATAAGGAATATCACTTGCTAATACTTAATTTTAATTCAAAAGGACTTCTTTCCTCTTTTTTTTGTTGTATCTGAATGTTCCTTGAGTTTTTTGTTAGAAAAACATAATGTAATTCTAACAAAGAAAATACTTTCAATTTTCAAAAAAGTTCACATGTAAAAACACTGCCTATAAAAATTTTAAAGTACTACTCTTTCATATTTTCAAATGCGTTACATGACATTATTTATCTTGAAATAGGGAACTTGACTCATCTTTTTTTTTTTTTTTTTGACTCGGAGTTTGCTCTTGTCGCCCATGCTGGAGTGTAATGGCTAGATCTTGGCTCACTGCAACCTCCAACTCCCGGGTTAAAGCGGTTCTCCTGCCTCAGACTCCCACCACGCCCGGCTAATTTTTTATATTTTTAGTAGAGACGGGGTTTCACCACGTTGGCGAGGTTGGTCTCGAACTCCTGACCTCAGGTGATTCACTCACCTAGGCCTCCCAAAGCCCTGGGATTACGGCCACCACGCCAGGACGACTTAATAGAAGGAAGTTTTAGGAGCAATTTTTGCTTAGAACTTATGATCCACTAAAGTATTAAGGTTTATAATCATGCAATAGTGTTCTTTAAAGTTGCTAATAAAATCTGGAAATCATCAACAGGTTAATTTTTATGGCTGACACTTTCGTGACTTAAAAAAGCAAACTGGGCCGGACGCAGTGGCTCACTCCTGTAATCCCAGCACTTTGGGAGGCCAAGGCGGATAGATCACGAGGTCAAGAGATCCAGACCATCTGGCCAACAGGGTGAAACTCCGTCTCTCCTAAAATACAAAAATTAGCTGGGCATGGTGGCGCACGCCTGTAGTCCAGCTGCTTGGGAGGCTGAGGCAGGAGAATTGCTTGAACCCAGGAGGCGGAGGTTGCAGTGAGCCGATTGTGCCACTGCACTCTAGCCTGACGCCTGGCGACAGAGCGAGACTCTGTCTCAAAAAAAAAAAAAAAAAGCAATCTACAGAACTTCACCACACTATACAAAGAAGAGGTCGTAAAACTTTTAGTTACAAAGGTTAACAAAAGTATATCCCAGAGGGGTAACTGGACGCACACCACCTGCAGATGTGAATGCCCCTTCACTGACCAGAGAGGGAGGAAGGGGCGAGGTGCTGAGAGATTCTGAATTAGGGGCCTTGAATTAACACACACCCACACTCGTCACTACTAAATTAGTGCGGCCGGTTTGTCATCCGCACCCCGGGTTTCTCCCAAGGGAGGCAAAGTCTCCAGTCACCAGCCTCGAAGGTCCTCGGGTGCTTGGGGACGGGGGCAGTCCAGGAAGGAGCGAGTCCCACCAGTCGCAAGGCGCCCCGACTCGCAGCGACACCTCTACCCCCGGCTCCGGGGAGACAGCCGGAGCCGCCCAGTACCAAACCACTCCCAGTCAAGGAGCGTCAAGGGAGGGAGGAGCTTGGCTGCGGCTCGCAGAAAGAGTTCGTTCCGTACCTGTGTTGAGACCGTGAGGCTGCCCTCCCGCGCCGCGACATTCACGCGGCTGTGGTGCCAGGCCGCTCCTGCTCCTGCAAGGGCCGCACCGGCCACTGCGGCTGCCAAGGAGCCAGGATTCGGCACAGCCCGTCGGCTAGCAGCGAGCCCGCGCCGCAGTCTTCCGCCCCAGGCCGCCAGCCGAGCGCCGCTCCCTGCAGCCGCCGCCATCTTTGCGGAAGCGCAGCTACGCGGCGCCTCTTCTGTACCGCCACTGCCTGGGGCCTGCGAACTCTCGCGAGATCCGACAGGCTTCCGCCCCGCCTACCGGGCGTGCGTCGTGGGTGCGGCTGCTGAGGCGACGCTCGGAGCCGCAGGCAGCGGCCCTCGGTTCCGGGCCCGCCTTCTGAGGCTGTGGGGATGGGATGACTGGAAGAGTATCAAAACAGTGTAACATGACTTACTAGTCCAAAGCGAGATAGCGCCCTCGATTGTGTGGGCCGGTTTCTCCTTTCCATTTTTCATCTTGTGAAACCGGCAAACGTTTTTAGAAATAGTCACTTCCGCCTCTGGGTTGTTCATGTCTTCCTACGCTTATAGCCTTGACTGTTCTTTCATTTCTGCTAAAAGGACTTTCAGACAAAGCCATTCTCTTTATTTCAGGCACCCACTGTTGGCTGAATATTGAATTTAAATTCAGTTTCAACAAAGTGATGGTAGCTCTTATCTTACCCAAAACGGAAGTCGGAGACAGCAGCACGCCAGCCCCGTGTCTCTGTCATTGGGGACCCAGAGTTTTTCCCGAGGGCAGGCTTAGAGGGATACCTCAGTCGTGGCTGTTCCATTGGTGATAGTGGTGTAGCTGAGGCGGACTACTTTGTTTTATTTAATAGCCTCCAATCCTCCATTCTTTGGTCTGCCCTTTTCCTGAGTAACTCTCTTTAATAAACTCTTTGTTCAGCCTCTGAAATGTCCCCTGCTATTAGAAGCTTTAGTTGGGCATGCAGTAACGGAGCCAACATCAAAGGGCCAAGACTCCTAATGACATAATCACTGCTGTCTTGAAGTTTTGCACAAAACAAAACTTCAAGAGACAAAAGCCTGTCACACGAACTCTAATTTGATCATTCAATGGAAGTTCCGTGGATCACTTTGCTATTATCTGCCCTTAATCCTTGCTCCTTTTCTCTTAGCCTGCTTGTCTAAATTAATCTGCAGTTAAAGCTTTCTCACTTTTCCCTCAGTTGCGGGACTCACCTTCAGTGTACCTTCCCAGGCAGAAAGTAGAGAGATGAGCCTCACTTCACAGACTTGGGAGCCAGACCTCAAGGTTTGAATCCTAGCTCTACCAGGATGATCATTGTGGTTTGGGGGAAATTATTTAATCTCTCTGAGTCTCAATTTTCTCATTTGTAAATGATTCACGATTTGTGGAGATGACCACTGCAACTTGGGGTAAGGTATTTAATCTCTTTGAGTCTCAATTTTCTTTTCTGTAAACAGCCCTCTTACAGTTTGGGGTGGGGGAGCTAAATGAGATATTTTGTGTAAAGTGACTAGCCAAATGCCTAGCACATGGTAGGCTCGTGACAGATGAATGTTTACTGTGGTCAAGGTTTGGTTTACTCCTGCTCTGTGAACACAAATGAGCTTGACCGAATGTCCATGATTTCAGATCACTAGCCCATCTTAACCTGAGACTTTCCTGCCTTTTCATATCTAGCCTGACTTTGTCAACCTCTGGTCTGTTTTTCACCTCTGCTAACTCTGGTAGCTGTTAGCACATGTCCTGCTCTTCTGGACTGTTGACATCTAGCTTGTTTCTGTCCCCTGGTGATTATAGGACTTCTAGGATATGTTTGAACACTGTGGATGTCTTACTTTGTAGCTTATTCTTGCTTTCCAGAAACCACAGTCTTTACTTGTCTACTTCTAACTACCTAATTCACACAGTTCCTCTAGGTATTTAATAAAATCTGGGATCTATTACTTAGTTATTGCGTCAAGCCCAAGGTAAGTTTAGATTTCTATTAAAACATGTGGCATATTTAAGAGCACTGTATTTCTCCCACAATTTGATATCCTTCTAGGTGAGATGTCTTCCTTTTCCCTGTCTCTCTAGCACCTAGCACAATGTCCAGCACATAATAGGCGTTCAATGGATGAGTATATAAGTGAACGAATAAATGGCACAGATGAAACTCTGGGGTTCCCATTTCTATGCTCTGGGCATCGAAAATACAGAAATATGTTACTGCTTTGGTGTACTTTATTTTCAAAACAAAAGCTTTTTATTTTCTTTTGCTGAAAATCTTTGAACCCACTTGGAAAACCATGTAATTAGGTGTTTTTTTTAAAATTTTCATTATGTGCCCAGGCCTCTAGAACTCTCACTTATAATTTAATATGTTCAAACTTTTCCTATGCAGAGGAAACAAATTCTTATAATAGAACCAATCTCTAGTCGAATAACCATTCTAAGTATGAAATCTTCCTTGGCAGCTGCTGACATTTGTCTAAGCACATTGACTATATTGGTCTGTTTGGGATCCAGCTTTGTTCATTTCTTCGTCACCAGCTGTAAAGTCCTGGGCTGGGATGTATTTTCAACCATGCAGTTTATAAACCAATCCCCAAATAAGAAGCTGCTTCAAAAGCTATACAATGTATGCTGTTTTAAATAGCTGGACAAAAACAGAATGGAAATACTGATTGTTTCAGAGTATCATTCTTAACTCACTTACTCCCGCTCTGTTTTCTGAAGGAAGAACAGAAGTGATATATCAGAAAAACTGCTCTCAAGAAGCTTTATTTTCACTGGAGAAGCTAGGCTTGAATTTCAAAACAGTTGTCTCTATTGTACTGTACAGAGGGGCAAGGATGTGGTGGGCTGGCACAGGCAGAAAAGCATTAGGGAAGAGGGAAGACTTGATTTGGAACTTGCTGGGGTCTGAGGCAGGGTGAGAGCCTGGGGGAGGCCGCATACAGTGTGTGCTGAAAGGCTTGGGGTAGAAGGGATAGCTATGGGGATTGGCTTGGAGTGTCCTGGGAGCCAGGCAGGGGCCACCCAATAATCTCCAGGCTATGAAACAGTTGTCAGCCCCCTTGTCCCTCTGCACATTTGTCACTGGGCTATTCATGCTTCCCTGCCAGCGTCCCCACCCACCTTGAGGCTAAGCCCCTCTTCTGAATCTCAGATGCTCTGCCAGTGTATTTCTTCTGCTTGCCCAGACAGTATCCTGGCCTTTCTTAGCCACTATCCACAGGCTTCTCCAAATTATTTTCCTTTTAACTGACAACAAAAACTTTGATTCCCCGTGGGTTACTGCTTTTGAACAAAAGAGGTCAACTAGTTTTTCTTACTGAAGATATTTACTCCTTTCTATTTCCATTTTAAAAGAGATTATTAACTCAAACACATCTTTGATCTTAGCATATGTTGGGGAGAAAAACAAAAATTGCTATCTGATTCCGAAAGATTGTTTACTGTTCTATTCCAGAATAATGTGCATTGAAATTGATCATCTTAGGTGGAGGAGAAAAAATATGGGGGAATCTCAAAAGATTAAAGAGTTTGGACTCCCATAGGAATGAAGTGAAATGCATATGAATGGACATTATAAAGAACCATTGCTTGGAATAGACAGAGGTTGAACTATATATATGGTGGATAATTGCATAGCAGAGGGTATGAATCACTCTCAGAGGCCCTAGATGAGTCAAAAGAACTGCTAATTATGTCTTTTTGTGCAGTTTGGGGCCATGGTAAAAATATCTGGATATCATGATTGATACCAGCATGTGTAGAAATAGGTTAGAATGAAATCTTACTGACAGTGAGAAAGCAGTGCCCAGAGGAGCATTTTGTGTGTCTTTCAGATCCTCCTCTGCATCTCATTCCCTTCCCATCCTCCCAATGCAGCTCCCATTACCTCGCGCTGTGATGATTGCAGCCATCTCTTAACACGTGCCTTTGCTTCCAGTCTTTCTCTCCTCTGAAGCATCCCATAGATCTATGTCAGATCAATCTTCCTAAAACATTTCTTTCACCATACATCCATTAGCTATGTGATTTAACCTTCCTAAGCCTCTGTCTCCCTGTTGGAAAATGAGGAGAAGGGGTTCAGTTTATTTTTACACTTCTAAAATTCTTATTCTATGCCACTCCAAAGTGGCTTTTTTCTCCTCATTTAACAAACTGTATCGAGTGTGAAATATGTGCCAGGCATGGTACCACACATTGGAGACACAAGGACAAATAGGATAGAGCTTGAAGTAAGCTATGCTCTCACACATTGGCCTATGCCCTCTGTGCTGAAAACTTTTAAAAGTATGTAACCCCCCCATTTATGTATGTTTATTTCTTAAATTTACACATTTACAAGTAAATGTTAAAAACCACGTAGTAAGAATTTGAATGGGGATATAAAGATGAACTAGTATTTACAAATTAAAATTGTATTATTAAAGATGCAATGAATGTTTTGTTCTAAAACTGTTAATATTTTAGTGAGAGCTATGTGATTAAATTGGCTTCACTGACTTGGACAATGCTGATTTAGGTTTTATGAGATACAAGGTCTGGTATTATACCGAGTTAATTTATGCATTAGTTTTTGCTGACTGTCACAGCTCAAAAAGGTACCTCACAAAAATATGTTAATCCAAATGAAAGGTGTGACTGTACTATTAGTTGAGGTAATGAAACCATAATGCTTGTCTTTATTTTTTTAGCTTTTTCTTATGAAAAATTCAAATATATATATAATTAAGGAGACTAAAATGATAAGTCTCTATGTATGTAGAGCTGGACTTCCACAATTACCAACTCACGGCCAGTCTTATTTCATCTCCACCTTCTCCTTTTCCCTTAATTAGATTGTGTTGGAGTAGCCCTCAGGCTCATATAATTTTATTCTACATATTTTATTATGTATTTTTATTTGCTGTTTTTGGGGTGTGTGTGTGTGTGTGTGTGCGTGTGTGTGTGTGTGTTTGAGACAGGGTCTCAGTTTGTCACCCAGGCTGGAGTGCTGCGATCTAGGCTCACTGCAACCTCTGCCTCCCAGGTTCAAGCAATTCTCGTGCATCAGCCTCCTGAGTAGCTGGGATTACAGGTGTGTGCCACCATACCTGGTTAACTTTTGTATTTTTTGTAGAGAAGGGGTTTCACCATGTTGGTCAGGCTGGTCTTGAACTCCTGGCCTTAGGTGATTCTCCCTCCTCAGCCTCTCCAAAGTGCTGAGGTTACAAACATGAGTCATTGTGCCCTGCTCATTATGTGTTTTTAAA